TTACCTGACGTCAGTGTTAACGAGAACTGGTTTTACCTGACGTCAGTGTTGACGAGAACTGGTTTTACCTGATGTCAGTGTTGACGAGAACTGGTTTTACCTGACATCAGTTTTGACGAAAACTGGTTTTACCTGACGTCAGTGTTGACGAGAACTGGTTTTACCTGACGTCAGTGTTAACGAGAACTGGTTTTACCTGACGTCAGTGTTAACGAGAACTGGTTTTACCTGACGTCAGTGTTGACGAGAACTGGTTTTACCTGATGTCAGTGTTGACGAGAACTGGTTTTACCTGACGTCACTGTTGACGAGAACTTGCTTTACCTGACGTCATTGTTGACGAGAACTGGTTTTACCTGACGTCAGTGTTGACGAGATCCAAAGAACCGACTGGAACAAAAAGAAGAAGCTACAGTAGCACAACGCTGACTGACAGCTAAACCTCGCTAAATACTAGTTAGAACTAAAGCGGCAAAAGACTAGTTAGAAGCTATACCTAGCTAAATCCTACTTAGAAGCTAAATCTAACAAAAGGCTAGTCAGAAGTTGGGGTGTAAGAAAATATCGATACACTGWAATATCGCGATATTTCATTTCCCGATACTGTATCAATATTCTAAAGCCCTGTATCCATTTTTATTAAGGTTTAAAATGTCAACTTTCCTGCCCACCGTTCATTTTTATGTTGTAGTTCAGCCTCTGACCACTAGTTGGCAGCAGTGAGCCAGCCATKTGGCTCCTCTACCTCTTGAGTGCCAGAGAGTAAGGGTCGCATTAGCATTGTAAGTAAACATTATCTTTTCTTTTTTTTCAGTAAGAGCTTTTTATTTAATAGAATTTTTGGAAAATAAATCGCAATGTATTGCCTTGCTTACAGTATTGCAATATATCGGGATATATTGTATCGTGACCCCTGTTAAGATATGTATTGTATCGCCAAATTCTTGCCAATACACAGCCCTAGTAAGAAGCTAAATCTAGCAAAAGGCTAGTTAGAAGCTAAACCTAGCTAAATACTAGTTAGAAGCTAAAGTAGCAAAAGGCTAGTTAGAAACTAAACCTAGCTAAATCGTAGTTAGAAGCTAAAGTAACAAAAGGCTAGTTAGAAGCTAAATCTACTAGTTAGAAGCTAAATCTAGCAAAAGGCTAGTTAGAAGCTAAAGTAACAAAAGGCTAGTTAGAAGCTAAAGTAACAAAAGGCTAGTTAGAAGCTATACCTAGCTAAATCCTACTTAGAAGCTAAATCTAGCAAAAGGCTAGTTTGAAGCTAAAGTAACAAAAGGCTAGTTAGAAGCTAAAGTAACAAAAGGCTAGTTAGAAGCTAAAGTAACAAAAGGCTAGTTAGAAGCTAAAGTAACAAAAGACTAGTTTGAAGCTAAAGTAACAAAAGGCTAGTTAGAAGCTAAAGTAACAAGGGTCACACACACACATATATTTATGTTTTTTACTGAAGCTCTGAAGTGAGTTCGTGGTGCTGCTGTCAGCAGGGGTCAAAGGTCGGCTCCAGGACAGCCTGATGGTTGAAACACAAAGAGAAAAGTCTGAAGGATGTGTGTAAAACATGAAATGAAGGGTTTGAAGCAGGACAAACTGCTCTCAGTGTCTCTGGGTTTGTCTGAAACCTTCAGGTTATTTTCAGAGGCTTCCAGCCACACTGATCATTAAATCTGCTTCAAGGTTTTCCTCCTGCTCGAACATAAACACAGCTCCACTGAAGGCCACAGCTGCTCTCACTCCCTGATAACAGCCTGGACCCACAACTGGAAACATCTGCTGGTGTTTATACCAGCTGATCGCTCCAGACCCAACCGGACCGGACCGTCTCAGAACCAGAACCAGAGATAATCACACGTCCTACAACAACAGCTGCAGTTTAAAGGGTTTCTGTGCAACAAACAGACACACAAAAACTAACACAAAAAACTCATTTTACTGGAGTGACTCTAACTTTACTAACAAAACCTTAAATAAAACTTATTATTTATCTACTTTGAGCTAAAATTAAGCTTTTTTAACACAACAGGATGTTTAAGAT